GGCTCTGCCACCGACTGAGCCCGAGGCCATCCCACACGACCCTCGGCATGGAGGAGGAGGAGGAGGATGGTGGTGGTGGTGATGATGATGATGATGTCCCTCCAAGCCCTTTTCTCATGTGATGATGATGACGATGATGATGATGATGATGACAATGTCCCTCCAGGGCCTTGTCCCATGTGATGATGATGATGATGATGATGATGATGATGACCCTCCAGGGCCTTGTCCCATGTGATGATGATGGTGATAACGATAATGATGATGATGATGATGACGACGACAATGTCCCTCCTGGCCCTTGTCCCATGTGATGATGATGATGATGATGATGATGATGTCCCTCCAGACCCTTGTCCCACATGGTGATGATGATGATGATGATGACGACAATGTCCCTCCTGGCCCTCGTCCCACGCCAGGCCGCAGCACGAGGCCGCGCCGGACGCCCCTCAACGCCCCTCCAGGCTCTTGTCCCGCGCGATCACGGCCTCGTCGAACTTGATCATGAGGGTGGTGCCCTTGTGCCAGTGGGCGCTGACGCGGGCGGGGAAGCCGCTGGCGCCCAGCACGGCCTCGAGCAGCCCGGCGGCGAAGGCGGCGCAGTTCAGGGAGCTGTTCTCGCGCGGCACCGACACGAAGGTGTTCACCAGCGGCTCCCTCTCGATCACGTAGAAGGTCCTGTCGTCGTCGTTGGCCTGCTCCAGCTTGTCGGCCTCGCGGCCGAAGAGCGCCCGCCACAGCGGCCCCTTGACGAAGAGCAGCACCCCCAGCACCTTGGTCTCGCGCCGCCCCGGCCGCTCCCGCGCCACCAGCGCGTCCAGCGCCCGCAGCCCCACGTGGTGGCCCAGCTGGGCCAGCCGGGCCTGCAGCTCGGCCACCGAGGCCACGCGGCGCTGGCAGTACTGCACCAGCTCCGAGAAGAGCAGCGCGAAGGCGGCCAAGGACAGCTCGGAGCGCGGCCGGCCCAGCGCCCGCTCCAGCACCGGGGACTTGCCGCGCGTGAAACGGGCGTCCATCCTGCCCTGGGGGGACAAACGGGGCTCAGGGGGGTGCCGGGAGGGGGTACGGGGGGTCTGAGAGGGTCGGGGGGCACAGGGGGTGGCACGGGGAGTGGCACGGGGCCAGCTCGGAGCGCGGCCGGCCCAGTGCCTGTTCCGGCATCGGGGACTTCCCCCAGGAGTGGGACGGGCACCATCCTGCCCTGGGGGG